GTGGGGAACTCACAGCTGCCCCAAGGCGCCCTCCGCTCCCGCCGCTCACAGCCCGGAAGACGCCGCCACCGTCGCCGCTCCCTCGGCCAATCAGAGCCCGCGCTGACTCTGGGCCAATCCCGAGCCGCGGCCCCGGAAAAGGGCGGGGCATCCAGCCGGAGCGCACGTGCCCCCCCAGCGGGCGCGCTCCGTGGTTGGGGGCAGCGCGATGTGGGTCCCCTTGTCCCGGTCCACGCAGGGCCCCAGGTGTTCGCCCCGGGTTAGCCGGAGAAGGGGCGCAGGCTCCCCGTAGTCAGCGGCCCTGGCGGGCGGTCACACCGCCCGGTGCTCCCCTGCCGGCGGGGCGGGAGAATGGCGGTGATAAAAGCACGTCCGTGGTGCGCTCGCGAGCCCCGCAGGGTCGGTTCCAGGCGCTCACGCCCGCTGGCCCCGCTAGGCCGCCACGCGCGCCGCGGGCTGTGCTAGTGCTGTCGCGGTTTTCACCCGAGGAGGAGGCAGAGGCGTTGCAACGCCAGACGGAGCGGAGACCGGAACGCCGGGCGGTGGGACTGAGGGGTCGGCCTCTGGACCCCCGGCGCCGCCCCTCGCCGCAGGGACCGAAATGGAACCGGTGACCTCCCGGGGCGTGGAGGATGCTCAGCCTCCTGGGCCGCACCGACCGGGCTGAGGGTCATTCTTAAGACACCTGGAGCAGAATCCATAAATGAAATTAAGATGTTTGACCCCACTACAGTTCAAAACTTCTGGATGCAAGAGTCTCTTTTAAACAAATTTAAAATATAAGGAACAAATTGGGAAGACATATTTGTAACATATAAGAAAAATTTAGTATCAGAATATAAAATATCTACAATAAGCAAAAAAGTGGGCAAAGGGTCTGAGCAATTTTCAGAAGAAATTTAAGTAGCATGTAAAGATATGGAGAAATGCGCTGCTCTACAACTAACAGAAATACAATTTTGAAAAATAAGATACTGTTTTGTATTCATCAGGTTAAAACATCAGATTAAAACATCAAATAACAAGTGCTGGGGATTTCAAGGAAACTGGCAAAAAGGTAAATTGTTATACTGTAGGGGAGGAAATACATCTTTTCCCTCCACCCTTCTAAATTCTGGACGGGGGGCCCCCGAAACAAAAGACAGGTTAACGAGAAAAGTGTTCATTTTTTTTTTTTTTTGCATACAGATTCATTTCATGTAAGTTGTATGTCACGTGGGAGCCTCACAAGGATGTGAAGACTCAAAGTTAAACTTTAGTGTTTTTCTGCTAGGTTGATGAAGAGTGGAGAGTTGTGGAAAATGTGATAGGATGAAAGGGGTACAAGCTTAGTAAACTGGGGAAGCCCGTCCATGCAGATTCCTCTCGGAGGCCCTCAGTCTTGCAGATAAGGCCGCTCCTCTCCTCCAGGGGTAGGGAGGGTGCCTCTCCCAGGAGGATTCCATGCCCTGCTTCAGGGGAAGTTCAGAAGGCCCTCCCTGCACCCGCCATTTCTCAGATTCCTTCTGCTCAAAATATTCAGTATGCCAAGGGGCCTTATTTGGGGGTAGCGTGTCCCGAACCCTGCTCATTACAAACACCTAGAGAGAAATCTGGCAATTTTGAGTCGAGGTAAAAATTCTCATTCCTTACATTTAGGAATTGCACTTCTAGGTATCTAACCTCGAGAAGTAGTCACGCTGATGGAGAGACAAATATGTGAATCTTTACTGCAAACTTTAAAAACAGTTTATTATGGATATTTTCAAACATGCATTAAGTAGAGAAAATGAAAAGTGAACCCCCTTTTACCCATCACCCAGCTTCAAAACTTCAATGTTTTTGCCGTTCTTTGCTTAACTGTTCCCTGCCCCACTTCCCTGCCCCCTTCTTCCTCTCCCTCTTTTTTTTTTTTTTTTT